AGTGCGTCTGTGAGCCAAGTTTGTCGGTGCTAGGTTTTAAGGTAAGAGTTTTTAATAGAATATTTAGGATGTGATTTTAAGCTTTTCAAGACTAAGTAAGTGTTCTAAAAAATTTTCTTAGTCATCCTTCCTCTTTAGTTTTTGATTTTTGTGGTGGTAGAAAATTTAGGATTTGGAAGAAGGATGAATTTATGTTGAATAAATATGATTTTTGAGGTTGTTAGTAGTATAATAAATGTTCTAGAGTATAAATTTGTTGATGATCTTTGAATTTGTGGCTTATGGATCAAATTCTAAACTAGATTTGAAAATATATGTTGATTTATTGAGGTTTAGATGATTATTTGAGATGAGAAATGAATTATTATAGCTATAAGATTATGATTCTAAGCTAGAGATTCAATTTTTAATTTTTGGATATTTTAGGTACGAATTTATGAAATAAAAAGAAAATTTTGATAATAGAAATTAGTTTAGAAATTAATTTTTAGATTATTAATGTTTATTGATAATTAAAAGAGGAGTTAAAAATTTTACTTAATAGTATTAACTCTAGATTTGTATTAAGATTGAGATTAGGAATTATGTTATATTTTTAATTCTATTATTAGAATTATTTTATTAGTTTCAAAAATTAAAACTAATATTTATAAATAATATATTATTTATAGATTGTATTATTGGTGAAGATTGTGGCGGGAGAGAAATTGTAAGGAATAATTTATTGAAAAAGCCACGAGGTAACCATGCTTTTAATTTGTGATTAGTGTTACTTCATGTTAATTGGGTGATTATTGAGAAAATTATGAATTTTGTAATATTGTATAATTGTGCAATATTATTATGAATTTGTTTGATTATTGTGGGAGGTGTTGGGAGACTTGCTATTGTTGTTGTATTTATGTGCCACGTGGTACGCCCCTATTGGAGCTCAATAGGTGGCTTGTAAGGGCTCGGGCTAATCTACCTTTGGCCGGGTAATTTAGCACCGACTCGAGGTTAATGGAGGGATATAAGGATGGTTGTTTATGTATATTGTAATATTTCTTATATTTTGTTGGAATTGTATTATTTTTAATTCTCACTTAATAAGCACACACTTAACTGTTTGTATACACTATCATAAATTGGCTTTGGTTGCTGAAACTTTTGAGTCTCATTATGTGGTTAACAATTTTCAGGAGAAGAGCCACGAGTGACACATGGAGGAGTCCCAGAGGCTTAGTGGTTTAGATCCACTGTCTCTTTTGGGTATTTGATTTATGATTTATAATGTGTTATATTGCCAATATTAGGGCTTTTGTTTATTGACAATTATATGAATATATAAGTGTAATCATGTCTTTCAAACTATTTCTATTTTTGGTATACTTTGGATGACTGTAATTTTAATATTTGATTTACTTTGGATTGGTTCAAATGGTATGATTATGAGGCCAAATAATTGGCTTGTGTTGAAAATTGACTAAATTGTTTATTTTACTTGTTGGGAGTATAAGGATGGACAAATGTGATTTAGTTTACTTGTTGGGAGTATAAGGATGGACAAATGTGATTTAGCCTAATGGCATGTGGGAGGTAAAAATTTATCTGAAATGTTATATTGTGTGAGTTGAAGCCAATTATAAAATATTTTATATTGAAATTATTGATATAAAAATATGTTGGGTGGCTGTAACCCAACTATGGTTGAGTTAAATTATTTAAAAAAAAATTGGTGTGTTACAAATTTCAACTCAAACAACTCAAATTTTTACAAATTATGAGCCGTGCATCATGACATATGGCACAGAGTCACAGCTTTCACCCTCTATGCCATGCTACGGCATACTGTCACATGTTGACACATGCGTCGCGATGCACACAACAGATTCTGTTGTCAAATTGTAGAATCTAATGCTAACTCAGATGCGCATTATTTTCACATCCAATATTCAATTGAGATGATTCAAATGCACATACGAATCTTGTTTCAAAGTCTAACTAATGACTATTGTTTCATTCAAATCCAATATTTTATTTAAAAATTGAACACCTAAGTGCATTTTGACCATTTTATGTCAAAATTTATCACTTAAGCATTGCCATTTGAAACTACAAGTCATTTGCTAGTTTTAGGACCTTGATCACATCTAAACGAACAATTTACACTTAGTTGACCAATTATATAAACAATATAATACACAAACACACATTTTGCCTGTAAATTACCCATCACACACTTTTGGACATATTCATATTTCTCAATTTCATTCATATCTATGGCCAAATTTTGCACATACATCACATATTCGTCATATCCACACATTCTTATACCCATTTACTAGCCCACATCAACATTTTCATCACATATGCACATACACTATAGACTAGATTACCAAAACTGTTCACATTTACAACCAAAAGTGCATATACATGAATATAAAAATTCCTATGGCAACTTATATGCATAACTACAACTACTAACTTACGAATTCATTACACCATCTTACAATGACTTATCGGAGAAGTCTTTTACTTAGCTCGTTTCCTTTCCCTTCACACCACTAGTACCAAAAGCTGAAAAATGTATAACCACGGGTGAGATAAAAATTTCAATAACCAATATAGCATATCAAATGTTCATTAACACAAATAATCGCATACAAGTAAACAAAATCAAATAATAGTATACATATCAATTACAGCATAAACATTTCGTGCAACACAATCACCAACATGACCATCTTTCTACCGATCCTCCAAAGCTCCCCGACACGAAGCTATAGGTTCTAATAGATCAATCAATATTGACCTAAGCATAGTTTCAATGGTAAAAACACCTAACCAAAGGTAATCTATTCTACCTATGAACTATGGTTTCCCTTATTTCACACACTTGTGATAAAGGTATCGTTGACTCCTAACCGCACCCTAACGAGTACTAAAAAGTTGTCAGACTGTCTGAATGTCCCATAGTAATAGTCCCAATATAATGCAGAACCGGATTACTCATGATACCAGCTCGAATATAATGTTACACCAGATGTCCTATTATGCCAATCCAACCATATAAATTTATTCATTCATATCTCCACACACACACACATCTTGGGTAAACTCACACCACCTATGTTCATGTATTTCACATAATTCATATCAATTTCACACTTTGTATAGTACGCATAATATATATTATATATATATATATGACATAAATATATATAACAAACAAGGCCATAAATCATCAAACTTTCATTTCACAAATCAACTTCATGCTAAACTCATTTACATTACAAAATCATGCATATACTCATAAAACAACGAATGCATAATTATACAAATACTTCTACACAGTTCTAATAACTAATAAACATAACAAATTATATGGTTACCTCAATCTTTCTGTTCACAAAAAAGAGTTTCCCGTGTTTCAAAGCCTTACTCAAACTCTGTCTTACGATTTCAACACATCTCACGCAAGAACTACACAATTGAGGCACCCAGAGTCAATCACCCTATTAACTAAAAGTGCCAACTAAAGCAGTTAAGCACCTAATCACTACCATTTCCTTTATTCATGTTCATTCACACATATTACGAAAAACTACCACTCATTACAAGCACTATCGGATTTCTCCCATTACTCTCTCTCTAATTTAGATTAACTTGAGCTTATAGTTTCAAGGTTTTATCGTTCCAACTCAAACTAGTTACAAGATTTTAGTTTAGTTCCAGAGAATATTTTTATTACTATAGGATAAAACATCAATTCCTTAAAACTTTTGAATTCAATTTCTTAATAGTTTAAACTAAGAGAAAATAGGGTAGAATAGGAGACCAAGGTAGTACAAGACTTATCTGATAAGTAACAGGTCGAAAACATTATCCCTGCTCTCGATATTGCTTGCCCTAATAAAGCACCATCTCTTCTCCATTCTCATGCCCTTTTTCTCTATCTCTCATTTTGTTTTCATGAGCAAACACGTCCCAGTTTATTAGAATTTTATGCCATGCGTCGTGGTGTGTTGCATAGTGAAGAAACTCTTCACCGCACTCATGCGCTATGCCTCACAATGTTGTTCTTCTACTCATATATGTTCATGTAACATTCCAAATAGTCAACATAACATTTCACCATCTAGAATCCTAATCTCACATTAAATTAATAATTCATCCCTTAATCAATACAAATGTCAAAATTAGAAATTCAGGATGTTATACTTTCTTAGTTTTGGGATGTGAAAAATTGTTTGGGATAATTTTTTTGAAACAAAAGGACTTCTAAAATAGGTTCAAATGTGAAACATCCAAAGCTCTATCTAGTAGCTTTTGAAAAGTGAATTTAAAAAGTGAAATATTATTTGATCACACTACATTGAGTTTAATATCTTATTTTTTTATTTAAAAAATAGTTAATTCATTAAAAATATAATTATCATTTAAATAATAATTAGATATCAAGTTTTTAATATTATAAATTAAATAATTAATCATGTTAATTTTTAATATTAATGTATAATAAAAATTATAAATCTTTATCATATTTTTTTAAATTAAAATTAAAATGTAAAAATAATTAGAGATCAAATTTTCAACATTATATATAAAATTTTATCATATTTTAATCTTTATCACATTTTTTAAATATTTTAAATTTTAAATATATTATATTTATATAATAAAAACTACAAATCATTATAAATCAATGTACTTTTTGGTAATTGTATATTTAAAAGCACATTTTGCTATTATAATTTAAAAAACTTTTAGTTTATCAAACTAATTTTTAAAAAAATATATTTAAATTTAAATTTTATTACAATAATCAACTTTCACTAATTTAACTTTTATCAAATAAATTTTTAATAAATAAATATTTAGTAAATTAAAAATAAAACATACATTTAATCCTATAATTATATCATAAAGTCCTCTCCTACTCGTTTATGTGCAAATGAAATTATTTTTAATATTTTTTATTTGTTTAATTTTAAATCTAGCCGAAGGATTTTCGTTTTTGGAGTGAAAGGCAGGAGGTTCTTGTTGATAAAATACAAAGCTCACTCATCCCTTCAATCGATCCTCCGGAAGAGATGAGCGCCTGGCTCACTGTCCCACCACCGTCGCCAGCAGCGAGACCGCGACTCCTTTGCAACTCAAGACTCAGTTGCATCAGTTGGCTCGACCGGACTTTGGTCGGCGCTTTTTCCGGCGTTCTCTCCTTTGGACTCCTGGTCTCCTTGCCTTCCGCCATTGCACTTGAAACTCCTTCCCTTCAAACTCCGATTTCTCTTCCTCTTACTCCTTCTGAAATTTGCCGCGAAGTTGAGCCGGAAGACTGGGCTGATACGGGCCCGGAGGTTGTGACTAATGAGGGAATTGTTGAGGAAGCTTGGAAGATTGTCAATGATACTTTTCTTGATGCTGGTGGCCGTCGCTGGTCGCAGGAGAGTTGGCAGGTAACATGACGCACGTCACAGTTTGGTAAATTATCGAATTTTAACCATAGACCTTTTTTTTTTGGTTCACTTCCTTGTATCATGTGTCTGCTGAAGTGGACGAGGGCCGGATTTCCGTGGTGTAGCATGCCAAATTGAAAATTCTTGGTTTAATAGAGTGGGGTTTGCTTGGATGATTTAGCTCTGTTCTGTTGGCTTCGTTTTTGTATTTGATAGCTCTAATTTATCCCAGGTCAAAATTGTTCGCCGTTTAATCACAGACAAACCTTATTTTAATATCTCACGATAGCTTTTGGTCCCATTATTATGCCAAACTAGTTGGCGGCTATGCAGAATTCCATCATTTTGTTGATATCTGGTTTATACTTCCAGCAAAAGAGGAAAGATATCTTGAGCAATTCCATTCAGACGAGATCAAAAGCTCATCAGATAATCAAGAGAATGCTGGCCAGTTTGGGTGATCCTTATACACGGTTTCTTTCCCCTGAGGAGGTAATTGATTCTTCATTTTCTCTGGTCCTATTATTCGCAGTATGTTCTTCTACAGTTAGCTATGTGTACTGCTTCTAGTCACCTGTCACATGCATTGATTATAACGATTGCATGCTTTACTGTATTTTTTTGCATAGCGCCATAGCACTTCGATGCAAAATAAATTTTTAGAAGAAACATGCATGCATTTTCACTTAAATCACCCTCTCTTCTCCTGAGCCTAAATTACAATATAAACTTGACACTTGAAACTAAATAAATAGTGATCAAAACGTATTCAAAAACTAAAATCTTTATCATTATCAAAAACTAAAATGCAAAATGCTTTTATTCAAAAATCATAATTTTTATTTTCATTTTGTTTTGGAAATAATAAAATCAATATATTCTAAAACTTTATTAAGTTTACACGATTGCTCATGGTTATTCTAATAAATTTCATTACAATTTTATTCCCAAAATTAAATTATTATTTATAAATTAGTTAAATTTGAAAATTGTTTTATGAATATATTCTTTATTTTTGATATTTTTTATCAAATAATTTTACAATTTTCTAAATGCTAAAAATTGACTATTTTATGTTGACCAAATATATATTTAATACTTGTTACATTATGTAAAATATATATATATATCGGGTGTTTTGATCAATATAAATGTAATTGCCCCTTATCTTTTGATGCAAGGAAGGCAAGTATCGCACATCTTTTGGTTCTTGGGGGAGGAGTGTGCACTTATAAAATAGAGGGATGGTGTCGTGTAATTTAGACATCTCCCAAGAGGGGAGAATAATGTATACTTGCTGTTGTCTATTATGATTCTTATGAAATAGTTATGGCTGTGCTTTGTGATTATGTTTTATTTATACATGAATAATGCCACACACACCTGCAATTTCTTCTAAAGTGCTTTTCACAATACTTAATGGCATATGAACTTCTTTATTGTTAAAAGTTCTTGAAGATGGCGAGGTATGACATGACTGGTATTGGAATAAACCTTAGGGAAGTTCCAGATGAAAATGAAATTATCAGAATGAAGGTGCTAGGAATTATACTGGATGGCCCTGCTCATTCTGCTGGTGTGAGACAGGTACTGGGGTGATTCTATTGATTGAATGCGCCAATATCTTTTCAAATCTAGATTTATCTGTAATGAATTTCTGTTTGCAACTGACCCTCAATTTTATTGTGTTGTTAGAACTCATTGCCAGGCCTTCGTTTGGCCATGGAACTCATTTCCTGGCCTTTAACATATCATAATTTAAAAATGACTGCACGTCTAGTCTTTTCTTATATTAAGCTTCTTACTTGTCCTTCTACTTTCAATATTAGAATTTTTGTCCCTGAAAAAAAAAAAAAGGCATGAAGTGGATCACGCTGTGTATAATAATTATGCCTTTTGAAAAGTTTGCTCTACATTTTCTTTCATTTCCGCCATTTGGATTAGCCCCACTGGTGATTTATTATTGATTAGCATAAACTTTTTGCTGCTTTTATTTTTTTTCATTTGGAATTATCAAATCGTGTATATACAAAGAACTAATGTGTATACAGGATAATAATTGCTAGGGCTTCCCTTTCCCCTCATTTTTTTCTTTTTTGGCTAGGGGGATGAAATCTTAGCTGTCAATGGTGTTGAGGTTCAGGGGAAATCAGCATTTGAAGTTTCATCGTTGTTGCAAGGCCCTAATGAAACATTTGTGACTATTCAGGTTGTGAATTGCGATTCCAAAATTGTAGCATGTTCACAAGCCTTTGTCTGTCTTTGTTACAATGTTGAAATTGGATAAATTATTTTTACTGACAGGTCAAGCATGGCAACTGTGGGCCTGTTGAATCGATAGAAGTACAGCGGCAACTTGTTGCTAGAACACCAGTCTTTTATAGGCTGGAACAAGCAGATAGTGATGCTACCCCTGCTGGATACATACGCCTTAAAGAGTTCAATGCATTAGCCAGGAAAGATTTAGTCATTGGTCAGTTTTAGTTGACTTTTACAGTTATGGTACTTTCTTAATCATGACATGTTTTCTTCTTTGGTTCCAAAATAATTTAGTGTGAAAAATTGGCACGCTTCTCTTTCCTCATTCTTACTCACTTACTCTGTCTATATGATATAAATCCTCGATCAAGGTTTGTAACAATGAATGATCTACATTGTTGATAAAAAAATGCGTGTGGAACTTGAAGGGGATGGTAGCATGAATATCCAATGCTAATTCATTCTGTTCTTTGCTCTCATGAGCTTTGCCCAAGAAACTAATTAGAGATTACATTTTGCTGTTTCTTTGTTTGTAGCATTCTATGTACCTTGTTGGTGTTTCTCATGCAGTGTCAAATGCTATATCATATTTTTTTCCAATAGCTTTAAATAGAAAGGCAACGACTTGTTGGATCCTTTTCTTTTTCGATTGGATTTCTATTTCTGGAGTCTTGAGTTGTGGATCATCCTATAATTACATCAAAGTAATAAATTTCGCAGCAATGAAGAGACTACAAGATATGGGTGCTTCATATTTCATTTTGGATCTTAGAGATAATCTTGGAGGACTAGTACAGGTTATTTTTGGTGTTAAATTTGAGTAAATGTTCCATTCGATGCATGCATTCAGAAAATAATTTTTCTGCTTTTCAAATATGTTCAATTTGTTTGTTTCTTTTGCTCAATTCAGGCTGGGATTGAAATTGCCAAGCTCTTCCTTGGAGAAGGGGACACGGTATGTCAACTTATGTGAGCATACTGCAGATTGCCGTGCTTTTTATTTATAATTGTTGTTTTTTTTTTTGGGGTCTTATCATTGTGGTCAAGGTCATTTGCCTATTATGGATATTATAGGATGACGGTATAGAGTTACATGACTTAGCTGTCTAACACAGGTTTTGTTCTTCTTATGTCTGATTTCTTCATGACAGGTCATCTACACTGTTGGTAGAGATTCCCAGTTCCAAAAGGCTATTGTTGCTGACGCTTCACCGTTGGTTCAAGGCTCCTGTTATTGTACGCACTGCTCTACATCTTAAATCAACTTCTAGAAATATCTCTCTCCTTCTAGATTTCTCCTTTTAAGGTTTGACGCGACTGTTCAAGGCACTTCATTATCAAGTTTTTAATGAAACGTGGCTTCTTAGTCAAATAGATAGCTGGTCATATTAGCTGCCCAATTTTTGCGGAGTGAAAAAGTGTTTGTTTTCAACATTTACCAAGGTCCTTTTATGAGTCATGACTAATGAGCCTGTAAAAAAAAAAAAAAAAAAAAAAACTCTTGCCTTGCTATTCATGTCTTTGCTGTACTGGACATTTTGAAATATAACTTATTGGTTGCTGTCATTGCAGGTTTTAGTGAATGATAAAACTGCCAGTGCAAGTGAAATAGTGAGCAGTTCACTTTCCCAAATATATTATTAATTCATCTATTGCTTCTTGTGCTATAGTCATACGTTGCTATTTATTTTAGGTTGCTTCTGCATTACATGATAATTGTAGAGCTGTTCTTGTGGGACAACGCACATATGGCAAGGTATATAAATTTGTTTATCACTTTGCAATGTATAAAAATGTTGTACAACTCATTTTTACCCATACAATCTTCTTCAATTTGCAATGTATGTTCTGTGGAGGGGGCTGCTGCAAGATCTTAAGCTGTTCCAGAGCATGCGTTTCGTTTTCGTTTACTCTTTGACTGAAGAAAAATGGATTAAACAATTTTAGACCTTGATGTTTTCATATTTCGGGGGCACTTTAACTTTTGCATGTCTAAGCATATGGTGTGTAATAGTTGCTTCAATTTTCTTGACACTGTCACGCGAAATGTCATTGACAGGGTTTGATCCAGTCAGTATTTGAACTGCATGATGGATCCGGTGTGGTTGTCACAGTTGGCAAGTATGTAACACCAAATCACGAGGACATAAATGGCAATGGAATAGAGCCTGATTTCCAGAAACTTCCAGGTAGGTTTCTCCTTCCCATTCCCTCCCAAAATGGTAGAATGCCTTTGGTAATATGAATCCATACATGCAGCTTTGGATGATGTCAGCAAACGGCTTTTGAACTGCACGATGCCTTAGCAAGGATGAAATAGTTCATATGGTATTCTTACGCAATTATTTTCTTGTCATATAATTCCAAAGTTTTGAAGATGTTAGCTGCCATGCATGCACTTTATATATTAGGTTTTATTTTTTTATTTTTGATAAGATATGTCAGGCTTTATTACTCGACTAGATATATGGAGCGGCCTGCCCAACTGGCACTTCGCAAATTGTTCGCCTAATGCCCAAAATGAGTGGACAAGGGAACGCTTCGGAATAATGGCATCAAGAAGATCAAACTGGATAGTTGGTGAAAAGAAGGGTGTACAGGAACCATATAGGGGATTTGAAACGCAGAACAGATGCAGCTAGTGATTATGACTTCACACAGGAAACGTTATGACAATTTTTTAACCTTTCAAAACTTGGGATCTTCTGTTCATTTTGTAAAATCTCATATTTTTTCCCCCTTTGTTAGAGTGTCTCATAGCCCTGTTTTCATTGTTTGAGGGCATACAAAGGAGGAAAACCCCACTTCCTTATCAAGAGAATAATTAATGAAATGCAAATTTTACAGAGTTTAGGGGTTTTGTACTTTGTATACTATATGCTTTTATAGGTCTCCTCCACCTTGTTAACAAAGCAGCTAATAAGATCCTTGCTCACATGGTGTATTGGTGTTGGCTAAGACTTGCTGCTATGATCCTAAAATGTACGTAGAAATTAGCTTGGGGGTTTGTCTTGGTTTTAAATGTAAGCCATCAATCATCTGTCTCATATTTATTATTTATTCTCGAGCTACCCCTGTAGTTAGATTCTAGTATGATGTATAAGTTATGTTTATAATATTCCAGTGTAACTTGTTAAAAAGAGGTATTTTAGAAAAATGAGCACGCATTGTTTACAATTAAATAGGTTACATAATTTCCTTAACTTGTGCAAATTAGTTACATTTAGGGCTAGGAGTAAATCGCAAAAATTTTCAAAAGGTCTTGGGTTCAATTTTCCTAGGCTGTGCATTAAGAAGATTGTGTGACGAAAATCCAAAGTTGGTAATGCGTATGATTGCGTGTTTTTACATATTATTCTAAAGAAAATTGAGTTCATCATTCAATCAACATTCCGTTGTAGTCTAGCTGGTTAGGATACTCGGCTCTCACCCGAGAGACCCGGGTTCGAATCCCGGCAACGGAATAATTTTTAACCTCATTATTTATCTTTCTTTTCTTTTGGGTTGCTATCTTCCATTATTATTGACTGTATATGAAACTCTCACCTATGAAATAATCAGAATGGTATCATTCCAATCTACCTGTAGCACCGTAAACTCTTAATTTATTTTTCTTAATTTATTTTTTAATTTTTAAAAATAGTGTAATTTGACTTATACCATTAATAAAAATTAACTTTGATCATTAGTTGTTCAGAAAATAAAAAAAATTTTAAAATTATAGGAACAATTTACACAATAAATGAGTTTAGAATCTATTATGTTACTAGATTTAAAGTTCATGAAATCCTTTGTTCATTTACTCAAAAATGTATTTTATAAGTTTTTATGATGTTTATTTAAATTATAAAGATAATCAAAATAAAAAAAAATTTCAGTTTATTTTAAAAAGGTGGTTTGAGTAGCTTTTGAAAAATAATATAATGTGGTAAAGAGGTGTGACACACAAATATATCATAAAATTTTAAAATAATATAATAATAAATTATTTTTATAAAATAAAAATTAAGAAAGATGTCATGAAATTTAAAAATAACTAACTAATAATTTTATTTTTTATTATTGTAATCAAATATAAAATAATATTTATTTTTTAATAAAATTTCTATAAAATAAATATCTTTCTGTAAAATCTTTGAACAATAAAAAGGTCACCTATTTTTAATCCACAAGTCTACGAGTCTCTCGACATCATATATGAAAAAGGAAAACCGAACAGAGAGATGTGCTTTTTTTTTTAAAAAAAAAAATCTGTTTTGATTATTCCTTGAAATTTAAAAAATTATCACTAAAAATTATAGTTTTTTTTTTCAAAAAATAAGTGATATTTTCATTAAAAAAAATTGAAGCAAACTAGATCCTCATAGATGAGCGAAAAAGTTTTAAAAATATGAGATATATAAAAATGAAAAGAATGATAGATAGGTTTCAAGATGATCAATTAATTTAAATTAAATTTTAAGAACTAAATTTTTAAAATTTATAAGTTCAGCTCTTAATTTTATAACTTTATTATGATGAATTCGTAACTTACTTTTTAAATTTTAACATGATTAAAAAATAACTAATTTGTTTTTCTTATTAATTTAGAACACAAGTTGTAAGTTCATCACAAGAAACTTGTAAAATTAAGAGCTAAACATACAAATTTTTAAAATTTGACACCTGAAATTTAATCTAAATTAATTGATTCCTTTAAGATATACCTATCATTCTCCCCATAAATATATCATAAAATTTTGAAATAATTAAATAATAAATCATTTTCATTAAAAAAATTATATCATAAAATTTAAAAATAACTAAGTAATAATCACATTTTGTTATTGTAATATATATTTTTTATAAAATATTTATAAAATAAATATCTTTTTATAAAATCTTTAAATTAATTAAAAATAACTTATTTTTTAATCTTCAATAAAAGAGACCAGAATCTCTAAAGTCTTTAAATTCATTATTTTTAATCTTAAACAAACAAGCCCATTATAAAAAATATCAAATCAAATTCACCAAGAAAAATCAAATCAATCTTGCTAAGCAGTTAAACATGAATATTTGATAATATAGACAAAATATTCTCTTATATTAAGTAATTTTTGCATCATAATTAATAATACTTATGATTTATACCTATTTCTATATTTATAATATATAGTAAATACCGGATAGGTATTGTAAATCTGACTTTTATTTTATTTTTTCAATTTTTATTTGTTAAGAATTTGTTAAGCCGTTGGATGGAAATTATAGATTTGCAGTACTCATTTGACTTTGCTTTCTTTTTTAATTTTTATTTGTTAATTTTTTAATATAATATAATAGGAAAGGTAAAGAATAATGTGGCCCTGGAGTAAAATAAGTATACGTGGGATCTACAAAAAAAATAAATTGTGATTACTAATGGTAAAAAAGTGGGTGTGAGACTATAATTTAATTAAAAAAATTAAATTAGTAATTATTTTGACGAATAATTTTGTTAAAAAAATAGACATAGTTGTGGGACTCAGTAAAAAAGTAAATATGTGATCTAACATATATAGGACAAGTTTTTATTTATATTCTTCAAATACATAAGGTATAAAAATCTATTATTATATTATTTATATATAAAAATTGACTACGGTTTAAAATTCTATAAAAAACATTGATGTAGTTATATGCTTTAAGTTTGAGCCAAAAAAATTATAAGCTTTAAGTTAATTATATAATATCAATAAATTTATTTTTACTGCACACTTAGTCTTTTATTACTAATTATTGTATTACTTGTAATGCTTGTACATATAATTGATAAATAATATTAAATCATGGATTATATTATTTGCTTGATTTACAACTATTATAATTATGATTTATAAATAATATTATGATATAAATTGTAGTACCAGTCATCATAGTATATGTTTTATTTTTCTTAAGGTGATACATGGGTAACACATTTTGAAAAAGAACAAACTATATTATACTTTAAATTGTAAGAAATGAGAAATTTTAAAAAATATTAATATTTTTTAATATGTACATGAGTAGTACATTATAAAGTTTTTAAAAAATAAAAAATATAGTTGTAGGAATCATGGTAAAAAAAAAAAGTGGGCATAGGATTTACTATTAAAAAATATGAGTATGGGACCTACATTTGTAAATGTCAAAAATTTAGATAAGGTATAAAAAATATTAAAATTTTTAAATCTTAAAAGATAATGTGGATTTATAATAAAAATTGAGGTGAATACAAGATTCTTAATGAAAATAATACATGTTATATATGCAATAAAATTTATATGGGAATGACATAGTTTAGATAAAAACAATTTATACAGGGATGATTTGAATTAGATAAAAATAATTTGCTATATATTTATATAGAGATGACATGTTATCTTCCTATTAAAATTTTCATCTCCTAGTTGCCGGATATGAGAATAATTTGGGAAAAAAAGAAGAAGTCATTCCTTATATTTTAATTTACATGAGACAACACATTCTAAATAAAATAAAATATTATTTATATTTTTAATATATATGAACATAATAAATTTTAAAATAAAATGTTCTTTATATTTTAAGTTGCACAAATTAATAAATTATAAAGTAAAATATACTTGCCTCCTTTTGTTTTGTTAGAATTACAAATACTTCTTTTTTATTTTTAAAGCATATACTTTAATATCATTTTTAATATTGTTAGAAATATTATGTTAAATATTTTAAAATATTTAATTTATTATTTGTATTTATGGTGAAAAATTTTAAATTATTAATTTATTTTTATAATATATTTTTCTATCCTCTCGCTTCTTAATTTTACTTTAAGGATATTAAAATAGTTTTTTAATATTAATATTTATTTTATAAACATAGCTGTGAGACTTAATGAAAAAGTGAATGTGTGATCTACAATGAAGATATACAAAGAATTTCATATTTATTTTTAAAAATTAAATTTTAAATTTTTAAATATTTAAAAATTCTATTTCACGTTGCCTACCGCAAAATTGTCAGTCACGGTACTAGCACAATATTTTAAAAAAATTAATGATTAATAATATATTTTTAAGATCATATTTTATTGTAATATATAATAGGATGTTATATTTGGGACAAAATAAGTATTCTCTCTTGTTAATGATATAGCTATATTAAATACTTTCATATTAATTAATAAAGGATAAAATTTGAAAAATTAGTTTAAATATTACAAAATTTCTTATATTTTTAATAAAAAATTATTTCTAAAATGTGTTCTTAGAAAAGAACTAGAAGAACTATATGATAATAAATTTTGGAGTTTAAATATAATTTTAAATTTTAAATTTTAAATTTTAATATATGCATATATAGTAAATTTTAAAATAAAATATTCTACTTAAATTTTTAATATGGACAGTAAATTATAAAAAATATAAATTATAAGAAATTTTTTTAGTTAAACTCATTATTTGTGTAACATTTTCCTCCAACTCTTGAAAACGATAGAATCTAACCCTTAGTCTTGGCATAAGTGAATTTTAATCATTATTTGATCAAAAAAGGACATAATTACAATACAATGTGTTGTTATTTATTTTTATTTTCTAATGTTATTAAAAATCTTCCTCTTACTTTTTCCCATTGTCTTCAAATAAAATTAAAAATTTGACTCTGGTACATCACTTGACGTTAAAATCTAGTTAATAGTAATTCTGGATTCCACCTTTTGAGCTTACAAAAAGTTAATTTCAAGAATATTTAGAGAATTGATAGAGAAAATATTGCGCTAAAGTAGATTATGAATATCATCTAATAATGCATCATCATTTTAAATCCCTCTCACCGCTATCTTCTTGATTGGATATATTAATACTCAT